TCACAATGAAACGTACAAAACAATACAAACAAACATTTAGAAAACCACGGGGCACATCTCAATACATGTTAAATAACTTGGCAGGAAATAACGTATGTATAGGACAAATAATTAAGGTAGACGGTGTCAGATGTCAAAAAGAACAAACCGGAAAGTAATACATATTTAAAACAAAATAGTTCCACTGCATAGGTGTAAATACAAAACTAGGTAGAATATAAGTTTGGAGAATATTATTAATCTAAAAAGGAGAACAATATTTTGTTTTGATATTACTGCTAACACTTTGTTATTTTAAATTGTATTTTCAAAGCGCCAAAATTTTGTTTACATGCCCACCGTGTATCATCGGTACAGCGGATATAGGTACTAACCAAGTGGGGCGTGATCGATTTTTACCTGACACGGTAAGAAAATCTTTGTTTTGATTTATCTACATTCAGTGTACATTTCTCAACATCTGAAATTCCTGCTCCCAAATAATTTTCGCTTCGATGTTTTCCTATTTATAAGACAATTTTTATATTCTAATAATAATTATAAACTTTTACATGCGCAAATAGTTGTGAATGTCAACAGCAACTTTCAATTTCGATACAGTTTCGAGCCATTTACATGTTTTATCTGAATGAAAGCTAATACAGGGCAAAAGTAATAGTTACCAATCATAAACCTACCTGTGATAACTCATTCCATGAAACATTTTGGGTGATAAACACTTTTGGAAAAGCTATATGCCGTACATTCACTTAACTATGCACCGTACAGAAGGATTTATGTGGTCAGCTATACACCGTACACAACGCTTCTTTTCGGAATAAAATATCGAGAAATATTATATGTATGAAAGATTTAAATGCCAATTATTGAAACAGCTATACTTATTACGCACACACAGTGGCCTTCTATCAGAAACAAAGTTGCAATGAATATAGAATTATATCGGATGAGACGAGCGCCAACTTCTTTGACAAGTATTTGCACATGTTTTTAGTAAGCGTTCTTGTTTTGGGAAAATAATGAGACTTCTCTAATCATCAACCTACGACCAAACCATTTCTTAAAACAACAATTATGTTTAGATTGAAGTACACATTGATATTATGTAAATAAAACAAAGATTTTCTTACCGTGTCAGGTCAAAATCGATCACGCCCGCTTGGTTAGTACCTATATCCGCTGTACCGATGATACACGCCAAACATTGACAAGTTCGCCTATTGCTTTGAGGTGTAGGTAGTCATACAGGACACCATATGCATACAATGCAGTCATTTCCTCAATATTGCCCTAACAATGCATCATGCATAACGACGTCTTATCAAAAAGGTTTCCGTACGGAAGCTTATCTTTAGAACAAAAAAAATATTTACATTTTGTACACATAGTGTTTAAAAGTGTCGAACAATTTAAGTTGTTTTAAACACAAAAAAAATAACAGACGCAATTTTCCATTGTAGACCAGAGGTATCCTATTGTAAACATTGAATCAAACCGTTATGTGGTGACATATGGAAGTTCTCTCACCATGAAATGTTCAGTTCGAACATCCAAACAGAACCCCGTTAGTGAGATATATTGGAAGTACAATAATAATGGAGTATTGACAAAGATTTCAGAAGAAACCGAAGGGATATCAGGAAGTTCCATTGAAGTACCATCGCTCACCATTTTGAATGTAACATCGTCTGAATCTGGAACTTACACCTATTACGCTAGAAATGATATTGGAACAGGACAAAGTAGACCAATAAATGTTACTGTTACAGGAGGTAATACTGATAATTACAAGTTTGGATATTTTTGTTTTGATTTATGTTAATTTTGTTTCATTTTCTTAATAGTTTACTTTTTGGTTTCCGCTTTTTCTCGTCTTTGTATTAGGTTTTCAAATTTATATAATGGATTTTGATATTTCAATAATATCCTGTCTCAAATATCTGTAGACATTGACTTTTGTTTATGAACGTTGAGATTGTTCTTAAGACACATATCTGACCTGTCTGATCAGTCTTTTGTAGACGAAGTGGGCGTCTGGCTTACACAAATTGGATCCTAGTACTTATGATGAGTTTATTTACAACCACTTGGTCAATGTCACTGCTGATTTGTATTTCCTCCCCGAGGGTATCACCAGCCCAGTAGTCAGCACTTCTGTGTTGACATGAATTATCATTAATATGGTTATATTTAGCAGCTAACTGTTTACAAAACATAGAATTACTAAGGAGTCTCTGAGATTACTATAGAAGATCCCATTTGTTTAAAATTTTGAAACTCATTTAGTTTTAAAGTTATGAAGTTAGGAATTGATAGACCGACATTTATGCTAGATTCATAAACCGCTGGATACATGGGTTAGGTTTATTTGCTTTTCGTGTTGTCTATTCATTTGTTCATTTGTTTGTAGACAATATGATAATCCTACTTGTACAACAATTAAAAAATTGATGCCAGAAATGTCCAATGAAATGGTAATCTTCCGCATTTCAATTGCAGGTGTGCCGATTGTCTATGTTAAAGATAAAAGGTATTCAATACGGTATGGTGAACAAGTAACAATGTCATGTACTATTACTTCCAACACTTCTGTCACAAATGCTTACTGGGAGAAAGAATTTAATGGTTCAAAACAAGTAATTAATAATTGGACAGTTGGAATAAGAGGCCTTTCTGTAGATGCTCCATCGCTGCCTATACTGAAAACCACCACATCAGATAAAGGAACTTACCGATGTATAGCCACAAATAATGCGGGAACAGGTTATAGTGAAACAACAAGTTTAGAGGTCATTGGTGGTAAGGTTTTATTAAATTTGATTCATTTTTATAGTTTATGTTTTGATTACTGCTTTTTAAAAGTACAATCAACTTTCCACAATAAATCATTGAGTGTTTGTCTTATATTGTTGCCGATGAAAATTGATAAGAAAATAAAAATTTGTTACCGAAATTAACCTAAAGTATTTATAAACTATCAACCATGAAGATAATCTGTTCTATGTTTTAGAACTGCCATCTGTTAGTATCACAGCGGATTTGCCACCAGTGAAATATGGGGAAAAAGTACACATATTATGTGTTGTGAACGCCAAACCACCTCCGACCGAGGTTTACTGGGAGAAAGAATTCAATGGTATCACCAAAGTTATAGATAATGGAACAATTGGAACTGAAGGCATTACGGTTGCAAATCCATCTCTTATATTAATTCACACAACAGATGCAGATGCGGGACTTTATAAATGCTTTGCGGTCAACGAATTTGGAATGGGTTATAGTTCGTCAATTAAACTCAATGTCATTGGAGGTAGATAAAATTTAAACGAGTATATAATAGACTTCTGCAGTTATCCTAAAGATTATAAGGCTGATAATTAATGTTAACCACTACTGCAATATGTGTTATTGGTAATGAATGGATTGTGTGTGAAAGGAACAAAATATGAGAGGAACATCAATCCAATTTTCAATAACAATAGACCATGGTCGTTATATGTACAATCCACCATTTTCCTCGTAAGGAAATATCTGTACCAAGTCAGGAATATCACAATTGTTTTCCATTCGTTTGATGCATTTGAGATGTTAATATTGTCATTTGAAAATGGACTTGGAGTTCGATAGTTTTGTTATTTTACTTTTTACAGATAAACGTAACACGTCATTGTCAGGGAAACAAATAATTAATTGTATTTTTTTTCCGAAATATTTTGCACACGTCGATAGGTATATGTATTCGTGGGTTTAGGGCACATGAACTATTAACATGACTAGAATTGTTATCGGTATACATTTTAAAATATTAAGGTCCTATTGAACTTAACTCAATATACTTGATGAATTAGAATTAATACCAATGTTAATACTCTTAATTGTTGCAGGTCTTCCTGAAGTTGATGTGCCATCTATATCGCACCTAACAGGCATTGGTTATACAATAACTCTCACTTGTTCTATTAGAAATGCCTTTCCAGCAATTTCAAGGGTGTACTGGGAAAGATATATACATGGCTCAATAACAAGACTTTCATCTGCTTCGATCGGAATCATGGGAGTCACCGTTGACAATCCATCGCTTATCATTCCATTGGCAATGGAATCGATGACTGCTTCCCATGATAACCCCCCAAAAAATGCATATGAAACGCTTGATAAAACTCATAATTTCATTGTCGTAGCATACAAATGTTATTATACGAATTGAATGCTTCATTAGGTAATTTTTATAGGATTATACTAGCATTGGTAGTGTACACATTTTAGTATAAAATGCCTCTGTGCTACAAAATTTGCTTCGGTCAACGCATTTACACACCAATACAAATACGAAAAAGAACAGTTAATTCTTAAATACAATTGTTGTCTCTAGATATAGTTATTGCTTTTGAGAATCCTCCTTAATTAAACAAATGCAAACGAAAAAGGTCATAATCCTAGAATTATCTATAACTAAAACAGTGAAAAAATTAAAGTGACAGTTGTTTACCGATGTTTAGATCTCAAAATTAAATTCAAAAGAGACAAACAATATGAAGAAGTTAACAAACAAAGCCTGAGGGAATCGCATGTTCTCTAAAAGGAACTAGACCGGTGCATTAACAGTTTTAGTGTGTACTGCTATGCATGCATGTAATCAAACGTGTGTAAAACATTATCTTGTTGAATTGTTATTCTTTTTCTTTATCAATCTATCAATAACCAGCCAATCCATTAGACAGATATTGCATCTTTCCTTGTGTCAATAACACATACGTTTTTCGAGATTAAATAGATTTATCTATTGATCACATAATGCCAGTTTGATATATATGAACAGTGTTCATGAAGAAACGATTGATAATGTTTGGAAAGCTTATTCTTTTCTGGACAGTTTGATACCAGTTCCTCATTTATAGTTCTACTTTTAACTTTATACAATCATATTTCATTTGATATCTTACATGATTTTTACTAGATTTGAAAAAATATACTGTACAGTTTCAACTATTTTTAGTTACGGCAGGAGTTACACCAGATACTAAATCTGAGGATTCGGATGATGACGAGGACTACAGTATGTATCAGAAGATATAATTCCCATACTGAATTTTTGTAAAATTATCTATTCCTTGTTTTTAAAAATGATCATCATTTATTAGCGGCAATGTTGAAGCATTCACCCTTGATTTCCATTTTGAAAAATTCATAGTATATGTAGTATATGCCCAATTGATAAATATAAATGTATTGATAAGACTTGTGTGTGGACGGTAAACGATTTAAATTATTGTTGGAGTGTAATGTTGTTCTCTTGTAACATATTGTCCGTAATCGAGACAATAGTATGTTCTTTGGAATGTCATATAAAAATAAGGAGATGTTGTATGATTGCCAATGAAACAACTATCCACCAAAGTTCAAATGAAGTGGATGTTAGCAATAAAAGGCAACCATACGGCCTTCGACAATGAGAAAAACCCATACCGTATGGTCGGCTATAAAAGGCCCCAACAGGAAAAATATGAAACAATTCAATTGAGAAAACTAACAGCCTAATTTATAACAAAACAATTTACGAAAAACAAATATGACAGACATGAACCAACGACAACCACTGAACTACAGGTTCCTGACTTTGTACAGGCACATAAAGAATGTGGCGGGGTTAAACATGTTTGTAAGTGCTCAACCCTCCCCCTAACCTGGGACAATGGTGTAAAAGTACAACATAAGAACAAACTGTTAAGTAATCAGGTGTACAATACACCAACAGCAGTCTCTTTATGTGTGATGTTGATTTCATTCTAGACAATGGCAATGTGAACATTCACTACTAGCTTACAAGTTTCTATTATTTAACTTTTTCTAAATGTTTTAATTTGATAATTTTATATCGAGGTTATCAATACTTTCACAGCTGACACAGTAGTTAAAGGAATAATAGGTGCGGTGAGTGCAGTAGCAGGAGTTGGATCACTAGTTGTCGCTTTTTTGGCTTACAGGCGCTCCACGAAGCAGGGTCAGTGTATAATTAATTTGAATTGAGACAAACCAACATTGTCATTGTGAAATAGTAGGGATGTCAACGAGCACTCGAGTATTCGAGTATCGATCGGACGTACCGAGTATCGAATACCAAAACGATACTCTACTAATCGGGTTCCTGTTAGAATATTGTTGTCTTCTCTTTATAAAATTGATCTACTTGAGAACTTCTTGCGGAAAATTAAATAGGCATCCCTGATTAATCATACTTAGTATAGTAAGTGAAATACATTTTGTTTCGAATGCATGTGTAAATTTTTGAATAAAAATGAATAATTATTGAAGAATCAGAATAATAATTTAGTGAATTGGTAAATGGACAATTTGTCTCACTTCATTTAACAGCGAACACATCTCTGGTCAAGGTTTAGTTTGGACAGCCTTCTAATTTAATTTAAACACGTTTTCTTATTGGTCACGCAGTACAGTAATTTATATTGGATAAAAATTTCAGTTTATAAGTAGAACTCACTACTGATTATCACTTTTCAGAAACACCAGAAAAACAGGTAGTCAACAGTTTAATAATTTAGAATTTTTATGTTTAAATATGTCTTAGTTTGTCGTTGAAACTTCTATCAGCGTAGTTAATTTGATATGAACATTGTGTTTCGTCGTTTGTTCATTTTTCAAAACCCTCCCTCCCTTTCCCTTAATGTGGAATAGGGTATGAAATTTACATATCATTTGTATCTCATATAATTTTTATTTTGTTATGCTTCATTCTTTATATTTATTAAGATACTTCTTAGCAGTTCTTTAATTCAAAGTGTATTTGTCAGTTATAATCTATGATCACATGGTATTTCATTTGTATTATAATCTTGACATATGTATATATTATTATGACTAACTGCAAAGCCTAAATAATTTTTTTTATTTAAACAGTATTTTCTTCTGAATTAATTTGCAAAATTGTCATTTAAAATGCATACCTCCGAAAATACGTGGGCTACACCTAGACTAGCTAACACATTAAACTAAACATGTCTTAGCCATTCCGTCACTTCGGAACCGTCAAAGCTAATATTTTCGTCTGCAAGACTGTTAGTTACAGAGTTGCAAAACCGACCGTCTCAAATAATAGTTATGTTTCCAAATAAAATAAATTTGTTGCATCCTCTGGTGACCCTCAGTGAATAGTTAAACTTCTAATCCTTACGCTTTTGTAAACATTAAATGTGTTTTCTTAACGATTACAAAATACTATTGTTTGATATGGTTTTTCATTGTTATAATTTTTAAATAGGTGTTCATTAAAATGTATTGATTAGATTATTATTTTTTACTTAATTAGTACTTATATGTAAAGAGCTATTAATTATGGTGTGTAATTCATTGCCCCAGATACTCATGTAGATGGTTTTTTGTCCGTTGAACAATAAACCGCCGAAAGTAAAATACGTATTTTTGTTTTTCCGTGTTGTAGATATATTACCGAGCTAGTACATAATAAGGCCTTTACATGTAACACGAATCAAAAAAAGATTAGCATAAATTGGCTTGGAAATAGCAATATTCCTATTTAATTAATTATTTTAACACGCAGTATAGTTTTGCCCTTGCAGATTTAAGCCAAAACATTATCGTATTTGAATGTTTATACTTTTTATAAACAGTTTAAAAGAAGAATCTGATATTGACTTAGGATCACAAAATGCAGTCCAACAGCTGGAGAAGGGATCTTGAAATGGCTCCTCTCAATTAAATAATCATATATCTGTTTAAAAGTTATGTTCCTGGTGAATTTCAACCAAAGATCAAGACCAGGATCATGCTCCCCTGTACTGGATACCGACATTTTATAAATTACCTTTCAAACAGTGGTTGTTGTTTGTTCGGGTCTGTTATATATGTTCTTATATCTTCTCGCATGTTGATTTGTTATAATTTAGTTAGTTTTCTCGCTTGAATCGTTTTACATTTTTGATGTCGGGGACTTTTATAGCTGAATGTCTAAGAGTGTTTACATCTACGTCATTTGAACTCTGGTTGATAATTGTCTTATTGTCGATTATACCACATTTCCTTATTTCTATATTGTATTGCTGGGTCTAACAACCTGTTTTTCAATTAGTAATCAAATTTAACACCATTCTAAACACGGGCTTTAGAAATACTGTGAAAGTACCTTATGTATGGTAGATATAAATCTGATGTGGATACTTAAGACAAATACTTATGAGAGTACATCAAGTATAAATCCCCCTTCTAATGCATTTTTTTTTATAACAAATGACTTATATTCCCTTTGCACAAGTAGATATACGAAGATGTGGTATGAGTGCCAATGAGACAACTCTCTATCCAAGTCACAATTTGTAAAAGTAAACCATTATAGATCAAAGTACGGTCTTCAACACAGAGCCTTGGCTCACACCGAACAGCAAGTACTCATTATTTCACACTTAAAGACAAACTTAAAAAAATAGTTTGGTTCTTAAAAAAGAATACACATATGAAGTTATAGGAAGGACAATTATTATTATGATTTATGTTTGAATTAACTACATTTTTGTTTAATATAAATGTCAAATGGTAGACAATAAGCATTGCTTTCATATTACTGCAAACTCATTCCTTTATTTTAAAGAGGCGGACAAAATACAGGATCTTCTAAAGAAAAACAAAAAAAAAGCTAGTGTAAACATTAACCTTATCTTTTTCGCTATAGAGTGTCCTCTCTCTGAATTATTCAGATTTGATGACAATCTTAGTTGCATATTTTTCACCAAATTTTAAATAACGTTATCAGCAATATCTTTACGTCCAATTCATATCTTGTCAAACATCTAGAAATTGACAATGAGGGGCAGTTCAGGGCAACATTTTACGCCAAGAGAGAATGATTTCAATGTTACTCACTCTGAACTTTTCATTTCTGTGTAGGCTCCTTCCAGCAACAAATGAAAATAGAGTTAAAATGTCCACGTTGATGTTATGTCCCTTATTGCGTTTACTAATACTATGATTGAGAGTCGCTGCTTCCATGGAAGCTATTGCACTAAGAGTTCTTATTGGCTCACAGATTGATTAAGTCATCCTTTCAATTGTGACTCGTGCCTTGGTCAACGAAAATGTATGTCACCACTGACAGTTTTCATATTCCAATTATCGTGGCTTTACAGAGATAATGACTTAACCGGAAGAGACGTACAAGCACTACTAAACCAATTTGATCTGAAACTGTCATTTTGATCTGAACATCATCTAAAAGGTCTCATTAATAAAATATTCAGTCATTCTATTTATTTCAGCCAATTTTCATACTGATCCACGGCGGTCAATTCAGTACTGTTCAGACAATTCCTTTTGCAGTCAATTCAGTACTGTTCGGTAGCTTTGCAGACAATTCAGCATGATGTTGATGTGTATAGGTAAAAACAAAACTGAATAGTCTGAACATAGAATGAGCAGGTCTTAATTGACCACAAGTCAATTGTCTAAATAGTTCTAAATTTACCACAGAAGATGAATCTGAAAATTGACTGAAAGATTGAAAATGACTTATCAATAAATTGTTTAGTCATTTACGAGCTGTTCTGATGACAATAACCGTTTCAGATCAAAATTAGTTTACTAGTGAAATGAATGTTTACTTTAACATGGATAAATGGATAATACTAGATGCTGTCACTACCGCTACACGCACAGCTTATCCTTCTAACATACGTGAATAATTAAAAGTCAAACGTATACATTCTTAACTATAGAAATACACACACCTGGTAATAGAAAAACAAAGGATGGAATATCCATCCATGACACACAATCAGTACATGCACAGCAAACAATAAAAGAACAGAAAAAAAGTATTAATTAAAAATCGTTTGGCTGTTATAGAAATAAGGAGATGTGGTATGATGAATAATGAGACAACTATTCACCAAAGTTGAATCGAAGTGGAGGTAAGCAATTATAGGCAACCTTACGGCCTTCAGCAATGAGAAAAAACCCATACCGTATAGTCGGCTATCAAAGGTCCCGACATGGAAATTATGAAACTATTCAATTGAGAAAACTAACAGCCTGATGTATAACAAATTAATTTACGGAAAGCAAATATGACAGAACATTTTCATGCAAATTGTACTTTGCTTAACAGATGAGCAGAAGAGTAAAAAATACAGAACTACGATAAATGACAGTAGAAGTGAACAAGGCACAAGGTATGTACAAGTTTTTGCTTCTTCCTAAATTCAAATCAAATATGCATGCCCTGGTCGCATCATTTATTACTTCGCAAAATGGTTTCTAAAGTATGACATCTTACATTGTACAAGATAATGAATAACGTTGTCAAAATGTGCATTTTGTTTGTGGAAATATGTATTGCTTACTGTTATCTGACATGACAGTAACTGATTCAGACATGCAAATATTAATTCAAAATCATGTTTTGATTAGTTTCCCTTTAAATAGAAATATAACAAATGCATGGCTTACTTTTGAATGTAAATAATGTTACGTTCCTGATTGTCAAATAACAATATTGTGTATTTCTAAAATCTTTTTAGATTTTACTTAAAGTTAATAGATTCGAGCATAATGGTTTATGTTGTACAAATGTAAAGCGTTTAAAATATTATTAGTTATAACTAGTATATACGCGTCTTATCTTGTATAATAATCCGTTACTTCAAACGACAATCTTTTAACTTTATTTTGTATAAATTACATTGTTACTATCAGCAAAAATATGTTAAGGATAGAAAGTATCTGGCCAATAACAAAAATAACCAAGTCAAAAAAAAAAAAAAAAAAAAAATAATTGGAAATCATCAAACATAGCACTTCACAATTAAATAAGCAAACACAGTTCATTTTGATGTCTGTAAACATAGAGTTTTAGGTAGGGGTTTTTAAATTTATTTAAAAAAATAAGAAAAAAACATTAGTAAATGAAATTTCGTCTTAAACATAAGTTGTATTCTCAAATTCGTGTGAGAAGCCTGAAAACAGAAAAGGTGAATTCTTGTTATGAGTGTAAGTTAATTTTCAGATAGTTTCTTCTTGCGAATTCAATACACATTGATATAGTTCCGGCATTTTGTTTGTAGTCAAACTAAAACTGTTAAGTAGCTTTTTCAGACAATTCAGTCTGATGTTAATGTGTACAGGTGAATAAGAACAACTAATAACCCCGAACAGAGACTGAACCAATCTTAGTTGTCTTCAACCGAATTGTGTGAACAGTACTGAATTTACTGCAGTTGATAAGTCTGAAAAATGGCTGAAATACCGAACATAACTTAAGATCAAAAGATGAAAATGGTGGTTTGAATAATTATTAGGAAGATAAAACTACATCTCTAATTCAACATTTTCAAATATCAACAATGTCAACAAAGGAAACTTTTCGTTTCTACAATTATGTGTTTATTTCAATTATGTGTTTCTTCTGAAATTATATACTACTAAACTTCTATTAAGAAAGGTCTCAACTTATATGTGTATCTTACTTTAGTATCAAGTCATATCGTGAATATACATATCCCCTATAACCATCTCCCGACATTTCATTATTATTATATAAAATATGCGAAACGGACATACGAAAAGAAAAAACATTTCAACAAAATACTTCTATTGAAAAAGAAAACAAGAGTTATAATTCTGTTTACGGGAAAATTAATTAATACATATACAGATCCTTTTGACTTCCTTTCAAGTGAACACTATTTTTTGTGTATGTTTGAATTTTAAATATACACTAAAAGACCTATCTGTGTTTGTTCGTACCTTTGACTTAAATTATATTTTGGTAAAGGAAAATATCATTTGAAATCAATCGACCAGTTGTGCAAGTGAACAAACGAAATGTATACTTAGACAGGATTGCATTATACGTTTGAAAAAAAACACACATTTTGCATTGAATAATATAATTCATCATTAACTACAATGTATTATATATAATTTGCATATTATAAGACATATTTTTCTGTTTCAGTCCCAAGAACACGGTAAAATGAAAATGGTATGGAAGCTTATAGTGCATAGTTTTGTCTTAATGGAGGAATATAATATTTGATGTTTGAGCACATATTTTGCGAATACTGAGAAAATTCTTATAACTAAAAAGCCAGATCGTTTTTATTACTTTCTGAGGCAAACATAGCTATGCAGTGATGTGACAAAATAAATCGCATCGTATATTGTGTTTTTTTTATTTTGCTTTCATCCATGTTGATAATGTTCGCTATATCAAGTTTTGAATTGATCATTACCTACACATGTAATTGACTTGTATCGTTAAAATGCAAAAATCTAAAATAGTATATCCCTGTCAAGGAAAACACACTTATAAATCACTAAAAACTAGGATATTGTAAATTCGTTATTATTTGCAAAAAATTAAACAGACGAGATAGGAAACCTAAAAAAATAGCGAAAGGAACCTTGAATTTTGAAAAATAGAAACAATACATTATGTTTGTTCGAAACGATTTTCCAGATTTCAAATTATCAGGAACGCTCAAACCTCCCTAACAATGACGATAAAGAATGTATAAGTATTTGAATATACGAGGAGCTATATGAGCAAAGGGGTTATTAAGAATAGCAAAAACCATCAAGGGTCAATTTTTGCTTGGCGGAGTTGAAGCATACGTTTCATTATAATTTTATTAAATATGCATTGAAAGTTATTATCTGATCAAATAATATGGTTTGAGGAATTACAGAAGTCTTTATAATCGTGACGTCTTGAAACGATTGAATACATGGATAAACTAATCGGTGTTCATGCGACATGTAACAGTGGAATAATATAGGTATAATGTATTTAGCTTCTGCTGGATACTTTAAACAATTACACTTCTAAATTCGACTTTTCCTATTCCAGGTTCAAAAAAGGTTACAAGTAGTTGTTTGCAGGATTCTTGCAACCATGGGACTCAACGAAACCATGTATTGGCTGACAATGAATAGTCTATATTTGTGTAATTTAATTCGTTTTAAAGTTTTTAAAACGATGCATGTACTAGTAACAATGCTCGTTTGTTTTATTTATGAAACTCATACTAAATTCTGATTTATTTATATCTAACCGAGTAATATTTAACATTTTAAAACATCACCAAACAGTTAGTTCTGATATGCATATCGTATAATCCATATACATACATGTAGAATGCTTGACAATTTGTTTTGATTGGTTTTATCTCATTCCTCTGGCTAATTTTTCGGTGATGATAATAAATCATCAAAACTATTTTAACTTTTGTATGTATATGCATCTAATTATTTTTCAGTTTATTTTAGTACTAGTATATCATATGTAGATAGTTATAGATAATTACAACTCCATTGCTTTTTTCTATAAAACGTGTATCTTTATTGCCATGAGTATTTTACATTATATTGAAAAATGTACGTCGTCCGTCTTAAAAAGGCTTTTTTCAGTACTCCTTAACTCTTAGAAACATTGTACATTGAGTGGTTCAAATCGAAAGAGTTGTGTTAGTTAAGTTAATGTAATAATATTTTTCGATCAAAATTACATGGGCAACAACAACGTCAGATCTTGAATTAACATGATGCAGTCTTTGAAAATACAAATTATTAACAAACCAATAAAGAGCAGCCATTATACGTATTCTCCATAAAGGAAAAAAAAATGCAATTGGTTTAGAACTTAGAACGATAATTATCATTGGACGTTGATAAATATTTTGAAGTCTTAGATTCCACGTTCTATCAGTCCGTAACTAAGGAAAGCTCCCATTTTGAATTCCGATTTTTTTGCTATGAAACTTCTAAAACAATAAACAAATACGTCACATGTTGTGCTTCAAAATCTTCCTTTTGTCAATATTTAAACCATTCAGAAGCGTATTAAAAATATAAATACGTCTAACGTTTATGTTATACATAAGCTACGCGTCGCTAGGTGAACAGTAAAATCTTCGTACGTTTTACGAAGGCCAAGCTTAAAATTCAAAACAATTATCTCATAATTCCCGTACACCTTTAACTTTTAGTATGTATATGAATAAATCTTTTCAGTAATTGCATAAACTGTTATCCCAAAGAGCATGCTCTATAATTCAGAACATTTGATTGCCACTACACAAATGCTACACTTCAAATTCAAACAATACAAAGTAAGGACCTACACCGCCAACCAAAAGGACCCAGACTGTAAAATGTGTTTCAACGTCGACCGTCAAGTCTAACACGATTAAACACGAGTTCACATTGACAATCATGACGGATTTGTATTTATTGAACATGCACACTACTAGATAACTTCTATGTTACAACAGTCCGCAGAAAGACGAAATATTAAACACTATTTAAACAGATGATGACTTCAAGCAATTCAACAAACTTTGTGTCTCTTATCCAACGACGCGTGCTTAATGAGTAAGCATTATATATCATTTGTATTTTCGAATTACTTATCAATTGCTACTAAACGTCCAGCATTTAAGTATTTCATGCATCTTCTGGAAGATAGTACGTATGTGTACAACATCGACGAATTAGAATTATCACTGGATGTGTACTTGCATGACAAGCATGATGGGTGCAATATATGGAAACGGAGCTGCTTATGCTTTCGGAAAACCAGAGTTCACCCCCGGTTTATGGTGTTGTCAGTGTTGTTCAATCTAAGGTTGCTATCTAGCGTTTTTTAGACTTGTTAGTATTTTCGTCGTTTATACGTTTATAACCAAGGCTTTGTAAGTTTTTTCGACTTTGAAGTTTGAATCACCCTTTGACATATAATGTCTCTTTTTAGAATTGATTCACGTAAGAAAATATTATACCTCAAACAATAACATGGACTATTGTCAATCATTGTGACATGTGTAATGCGTTGTATATTGTTTACAGATCATAAATTGAATTTCACTGTGCTTCATTACGTTATTCTAAAATTCTAAAAATTCCTATTCTAGTATTTCGTGTTTTTTTCTCTCTTCTATATCACTAGACGGTACAGAACTTTTAAAAGGCCAATTACAGGGATAAAGCTTCATCAGGAATCAACTGTATGATAACAAATGATTAGATACAGTACAACCTGTGACATACTCTGAAAAATCTTCACCATCTGCTATGTTCAACATCCAATGGGGACCATTTATTGTGGGTCATACAACCTGGGATGTTGGCCATTTATTCGGGTCATAAACCATGGGTTGGTGGTCAATCTAATTAGGTTACCTGGAGAGGTGCACTAATTTTATCTATTGATTAAAAAAGATGTGTAAATTATGACATCCTGTATTAAAACTTTACCTGTCCAGGTAAATTGCTCTTGTCTTTTTTCAATTACATACATCATGTGTACATATGAAAAAGATTGAAAGATTTTTTCATTTGTTCATTTAAAAAGGTTAGAAATCATCTACTTTACTTTACGCTTTATAGATGATGTTCTCTCACTACATAATTCAAAATTTGGTGACTATGTTGATCGCATCTATCCCATCGAACTTGAGATTAAGGATACAAAAGAGGGGCGAAAGATACCAGAGGGACAGTCAAACTCATAGATCGAAAATAAACTGACAACGCCATGGCTAAAAAAGAAAAAGACAAACAGACAAATATAAGTACATAAAACACAACAGATACAGTTAAGTCTGCCTCATATCTTGACTTACATCTAATTGACAATGCGGGTCGGTTGAAAACAAAACTTTACGACAAAAGAGATGACTTCAGCTTCCCAATTGTGAACTTTCCATTTCTATGTAGCAACATTCCAGCAGCGCCTGCATACGGAGTATATGTATCGCAGTTGATACGATATCACAGGGCTTGTATTTCCTATCATTATTTCCTTGATAGAGGGTTGCTGCTCACAAGGAAGCTATTGAACAAACGAAGTGGTGAAGTTGAAATCATCCCTTCTTAAGTTTTACGGACGCCATCACGAGTTGGTTGACCGTTTTGAAATACCGTTTTACAGATGATAGCGGATATAATCCTAATGTCGTAACTACAATCCCGTTCCTTTTTCCCGGATGTGACTTACCGAATTGGACTTATTACAGGGTTTTTACTAACATGAGCAACACGACGGGTGTCACATGTGAGCAGGATATGGTTACCCTTCCGGAGAACCTGAGATCACCCCAGTTTTTGGTAGGGTTCGTGTTGCTCAGTCTTTACTTTTCTATGTTGTGTTTTGTGTACTTTTGTTTATCTTCGATTTGACAACAATAACACAGGTGATCAAAGAGCTTGATTAAATACTTTACTACCTAAACCTACCAGAAGTGGGTTGTTAAGGCTCAAGAGGTGCATATGAGTTAATTGTTGAACGTTGTGGGAGCGAAAGGACCCTCCAAATGTATTTCATCAGTTGCATGCAATATATTCATTAATTGCAAAGATATAAAAATCATAATTTAAGCTAGACCATAATAAGCTTAAGAGCATACGATACAGTTACAAGGGAGATAATCACGTTGCTAACGTAAAATGTTATTTATCACGACGTCAAACTGTGACATATAGGGAAAAGATACATTTTTAACTGATTTTTATCATTCAGACTGATTTAACTTGAAAACGAGTTCATGGACCACTCTTTTTAAAATGACATTTGGATTGATTATGTATGAAGGTTATATGTGCCAATTTTTATGAACAATTCACAGATGAATTATTTTTAAACTAGATAAATATACAGGAAAAAATGCCGTGTTTTCAAATAATTCGTTTCTATGTATGTTGGCGTTTGTTTTTGTTGCACTTCAGTGTTCCCGTTGTTCCTTTGTTTTCCTCTTATAGTTGATGTGGTTCCTTCGGTTTTAGTTTGTAACCCGGTTTGTTTTCTTTCATTCGATTTATAACTTTTGAACACCGGTATACTACTGTTGCCTTTATTTACTAAAGTCATTAACATGTGATAAAAACGAATTATTTCCAAAGCATTATTATATAAATTCAAGGCACACTTAAGTAGAGAAGATATTTCGAATGTTCTTACAAAAATCCACTTGCGTTTATCTTTTGAAACAAAAAAGTTCGGTATGTCTTTCTAAAGGATAGAAATGTCCATGAAACCGAAATTTCAAGTACATGTCTAAAATTTCGACCCAATTTATCTCTAAAAGTAACACATGAAGGTATATTTTTTATTACATTCTTGAATTGACTAGGTGACAATTTGCTTGTATGCCCTTAAACTTACACTTTTTTTCCAATCTTAAGATAAAAGCAAAACCGAAAGGCTTAGTGCAGTTGCAAATTAACATGTCCATATTTATCAGGAGAAAGTACGACTGAATATCAGTCTAATTGTATGAATCCATCCGTCATTGCTACAAACGTGTTTCATCTTCATTGTACGTTGAACTGCCAATCTTGACCAATACTCAACGCTTCCGGTGGGGGCAAGAAAAAAAGAGTAATTTTATGAGATGAAACCAAAAATATATAAAGCAAGTATATAGGTATGATAGGAAATGATAAAGAAAAATAAACAAAGAAAGGGGGTACCCATTTGCTTTTCGTTCATCTGGCCTGAATCATTCCGGCTTCCGTGGCGGTACCAGGGAAATAATCCCAGCCGGCATAGCTCCAGTTCATCATTTAACTTACTTGGCAAATGGGGGACTGAACAGACTAGAAAGAGAGTGTTGAAAGCTCTCTCTTGAAGGATACCAAGGAGGGAACCTCAGCTACTGTTGCTGGTAAGAGCTCCAGACGGTCACTGTTCTTGGGAAAAACATGTTTTTGAAGCCATTAGTCTTGGTTTAGTATTGCCAGAACTTCTTGGTATATGATGATCTTGTTCTTGATAACATTGGTGCTAGATAATTGTCGCATGGTATATCCACAAGATCATTAACCACTTTGTAGAGTAATGTAAGTTGTTATTTCACCCTTCTGTTTTCCAATGATTCCCATTCAAGTTCTTCCAACATGCTGCCCACACTACTGGTGTTCCTGTAGCGATTGGTGGCGTAACGGGCTGCACGACGCTGAACCATTTCAACATTTTTCACCTGCTCTTTTTGGTATGGGTTCCATACTGTTGCACAATAGTCTAAGTTTGATATGATTGCAAAATAGGCGTTTATCTTGGTTTCACTGTTAAATGAGGGTGGAAAAGGGTTATTTTCGTGCAATGTGTTTTGCCATTTTTATTTCACGTGCAGCCGTGAAAAAGGTTCGTTATTCACCGTGTTTCGTGAAATCGGTAAAAAGATCAACGTTCAAGAAATTTTTAATTGTTCGTTCATCGTGAAAAGGCAATTTTATTTCGCGTTCTTCCGTGC